CGCAGCGGTTGTCGCTGCAAGCGCCCGATTTAATTTCCATCGCCCCAACGAATCACTTGTAATCCAATATTGTTGATTCCAATCTGTGCACTACGCGCCACAGTACAACAGCATTCATCCAATCTCCCGTCCGAAGCTCGTTGTCATCGTCGTTGTACCAGCATCGTCGTAACGTCCTCTTCGTCTTCCGCATAACATAAACACACGCACACATACTCAGTTTTTTCTATCCCACAAAAAACAATATCACAAGGCACTGTGAAATAATCCGCAAATGATATCACACGGCAAATGTTGTGGTACAAAATCCATAAAATAGCAATAAAACTACAAAAAAATGTAGAAATATGCACCGCAGGGCTTTCAATACGTCTTAGGGATGCGTTAGGTGCCAAACCTTTAAACGTACAGCTTAAAATTACCTGCAAAAAGATCTTCATGTAACAAATACTTCAAATTTTCGTTACAGAACACATTTCTTGTGTAGTTATACAAAGGTAAATATTAACAGAGATTGAAAATTACACGTAATTTACCTTAGACAAAATCCTGTATGTGGGCACGAGGTCAATATTTTGTTCCTCAAGCATAATGCGGCACTGATCGGCAACCATATCGCCACCAATTGGCTGCTTAACCACTGCTGGAAAAAAAACTCTTGGTTCCATAAAGAAATAAACAGCAACGCGCACCAGACTAGCCGGTGCGATCATGCGTTTTGTGCAATTGAGTCCATCGAACGATTGCCTATTAATGATTTTCACCGCTTTGTACTTTAGCCTATGCAAAAATAGTTCAAACATTGAAAAACAGTTAAAAATTTTACGCACCAGCGCAGGAAAGCTGAATTCGAACCTTGAAGGGTGAATATCTTTCCATGATTCCTTAGTTAATAGTTTACCCGCCAAAATTTTCACGAGGCCGTAGGTGATAATCAAGAGCGCGGGAACGCTGGGTTTGAATAGGCAAGGTTGAGCGTGGGCAGGGGGTCGTTACCCTAAAACTTTAGCCTCCTAGACTCTGCGGTTCCCAAGATAATAATTTACCCGTAGAAAACTTTCACAGGGCCGTACGTGTTACCCCCAGGTACGAGGAAGCTGAATTTAAATTTGCGGGGTGACACGTGGGTGGGGAACATTCCCCCAAATTTTCAGCTTCCTAGCTTTTGTAGTTCTCGAATTGAAAGTTGCGGACAAGTTGCTGCGGACACACACACACACACACACACAAACACAGACAACCCCGTGACAATATGCGTTTTGTACTGCTTTTACACAGCACAAAACGCATAAAAAATCAAGCATAAAAAACGAAATGAATTAGAAGACACGAAAACTACTTTGACTGAATGTCACTCTTCATAATATTTGCTTTTCCTCCTCAACATGTACAATCAATCCCTCTACGATTCGTTCATTGGTTTTGATGGTAAACTTTTGTGTTAGCACATTGCAGAAACAGCCTTTAACATGTTTTTAAACAGTCTTAGGAAAAGAGGGCCATCGTCAGTTTTACAGTGCATGGTTACTACTGGTATGTGTTGTCACTGAAGCCAACTATTTTGTTCCATAAGAAGGAGGTGTCTATATATTCCATATAGTGAAAAATGAATTTTGGGAATTTTGAGAATTTGACGCTTGGTTTTCCTGGAATTTCATCCTGCTAAAATAATCACTAAACTTTTTATTTCCATTTATTCAGCTGGTCTTCCAAATGCGATTTTGTAACATTTTCACTGTTCGTATACTCTATAAATCTCAAATCCATGGCTAATGCAAAAGGCCCAAAAGTTAATATTCGCAAATTGCTTTTGCTGCTGCAGATGCTTCAAATTCCATACAAACTAATCATTTATAAATTAAAAAGCCGGAACATCTACACACAATAAATAAGTTAAACAGAGCCAAACAGCCGTCTGTTAGCGTGGCTGCTAATACTTTTTTAAGGAAGACTCGATATTCTTGGATACTTCAGTGCAACTAACTTCGATCACATCTTTTCTTACGATTCATAACCGTTATTAAAGTAGTTTTTAGAAAAAAAAGCACTAAAAGGAGCGCCAAGCAATCAAAAAAGCGATGGAAAGAATGCGGCACACATGGCATTCGCCGGTCATCCGCGAAGGAATGAGGACTGAAAGCACCGAAACGAACGACAGTTTCACTAGCAGACCAACTATCAGCTGAAGTAGCTTCAATATGGACTGTTTTTAGCTGTACTGGTAATGTACATGTCTCACGGTGGAACCACAAAGTTGTCAAAATAAACAAATTTTTTAAAATTATGTCTGTCAAAAAAAAATATTTTTTGGTAATATCGGGAAAATTTTGCTGGGAAAACCGCTAAGCCGATATTCTTTATAGAAAACGAAACAAACGTCAGAATCGCCGGCAGGATGATCACCAGCTAATACAGCAAAGCAAGTTAATTCAGTTTAATTTTACCCACTATTACCAATTGTTTCGGTGCTATGATACCAAAAATGCTCGGGAAAGCATCGGGGACTACTAACCATGCGTCATGCAGTAGCCATCGAAGACCGGAACAGCCGATGTCTGTGTTGCACCACTGTCCAGGATTAAGCCAGCTGTACGGCCATTTGCATAGCTGAAAAAATCGTTTTAAAGCGTGAGCATTTCAACACATTTTCTTGCAAAACGAAGCGAATTATCCGAAATTACACCAGCGGATTACACTGGTATAAATTCATGTAATTCCGCTGTAAATTATTATGTGTTTTGTGCTGTGTAACAGCAGTACAAAACGCATATTGTCAAGGGGTTGTCTGTGTGC